TAAATAAAGGTGTGTGTCCCTCTACGACTAAAAAAAAAAAAATTTTTTTTTTTTTTAAAGAGAGAGAATTTTAAAAAAAATATTTATTGTTTAGTTTTTGGCGGACACAACATCTTTGTTTGTATGTGGTGCTGAGGATCAAACCTGGGCTGCACGCATGCCAGGCGAGCATGCTACCGCGTGAGCCACATCCCTAGCCCACAACTAAAAAATAAAAAAAAAAAAAATCAGTTGTACTTGCATAGGTTGAGTATGTTAGTTTTATAAGAAACTACCAGGCCACATTCCACATTCTGGGCTCTTTATTCTGTTCCTTTGGTTTCTTTGTCTTTCCCATCTTTAATACATTGTCTTGACTTATTTAGCTATACAGTAAGTCTATTTTTCTTTTTCTTTTTGTACCAGGGATTGAACTCAGGAACACTTCACCACTGAGCCACATCCCCAGTCCTTTTTCATTTCAAGACAGGATCTTGCTAAGTTGCTTAGGACCTCATTAAATTGCTGAGACTGGCTTTGAATTGGTGATCCTCCTGCTTTAGCCTCCTGAGCTGCTGGGATAACAGGTGTGGGCTACCTTGCTCTGCTAGTAAGTCTTAAACTAAGTGAGGTTTAAAGTCTTAAAACCATTCTTCCTACTTTATTCTTGTTTTACAAAATGGTTTTAGCTACTTTGTATGCCTTTTCACATATATTTTAGAATAAGCATGTCTGTATCTTAAAAAAAGAAAGAAAGAAAGAAAGAAAGAAAGAAAGAAAGAAAGAAAGAAAGAAAGAAAGAAAGAAAGAAAGAAGGGGTATAACAAAAACTTCCCTGGAATTCTTTTTTTTTTTTTTTTGGTACCAGGGATTGAACTCAGGGGCATTTGACCACTGAGTCACATCCCAAGCCCATTTTTTATATTTTATTTAGAGACAGGGTGTCACTGAGTTGCTTAGCACCTCGCTTTTGCTGAGGCTGGCTTTGAACTTGCAATCCTCCTGATTCCCTGGAATTTTGATAGAAACTACAGATCAATTTGGGAAGAAATGATCTCTTTACTATATTTGTTATTAATAGGTATGTAATAATACCTCATTGTGGTTTAATTTGCATTTTCCTATTCCAATCCAAGAACATGTGGTTTACACTTATTTAGTTCTGACTTCTTTCATCAGTATTTTGAAGATTTCAGCATACAAATCTTGTATACTTTGCTAGATTCATACCTATGTATTTTATTTTTCTTTTGATTAGAAATGGTGGGGTGCTTTTGCATTCAATTTCCACATTTTCATTGCAAGCCATAGAAACACATTTTTTTTTTTTTTTGGTACCAGGGATTGAACTCAGGGGGACTGGACCACTGAGCCACATCCCTAGCCCTATTTTGTATTTTATTTAGAGACAGGGTCTCACTGAGCTGTTCAGCACCTTGCCATTGCTGAAGCTGGCTTTAAAGTCATGATCCTCTGGTTTCAGCCTCCTGAGCTGCTGGGATTACAGGCATGCACTACTGCGCCTGGATGAAACACATTTTTTGTTTTGAGACATTGTTTTGATGTTTTCCCAGGCTCCCAAGAGATCCTCCTGCCTCAGCTTCCAGAGTAGCTGGGACTTCAGGTGCATGCCACCAGGATCGGTTCACATAATTTTGTGTTGATCTTATATATTTTGATCTGCTGAATTTAGTGACGGTTTTCTGAAAGATTCTTAATTTTCTACAGACTTCCATGTCAGCCGCCAACTGGGACAATTTTATTTCTTCCTTTCCAATCTGTATGACTAACTTTATTTCCTTTTTTAAAAAAATATCTTTATTTTATTTATTTATTTGTATGTGGTGCTGAGGATCGAACCCAGAGCCTTGAACATGCTAGGCGAGTGCTTTGCCACTGAGCCACAACCTCAGCCCACTTTATTTCCTTTTTCTTGCTGAATTACACTGGCTGGGATTTTCAGTATAGTGTCGAATAGGACAAGTGAGATGGGCTTCCTTGCCTTGTCCTAATCAGAGCGGAGTGTTTTACTATTAAGCATGAAGTTAGTTGCAGAGACTTTTGTTGATGTCCTTTAGGATGATGAGGACGTTACACTCTTCTGGTCAGCTGAGTTTTTATCATGGATAAATAAGGAATTTTATTAAAATTTTTTATATCATTTGATATGATCCTGTGATTTTTTTTTTTCTTTAGGTTTTCTGAAATAGTGAAAAAAGCTTAGAGACTCCTCCCACTTTACAATTTTCTCAGACTTCTAGGGTCCTGGTAACTTAGTTGCTACTACTGGTCTAACTTGCTAAGTCCCAGAGTGCTCCAGGGAATGTAATTCGAGCCCTACTCATGACCAAACACACCAATATAGGAAATGTGGACCCCAGCATCCACTCTTGGAGATTTAGAGTCATACTGGTTCAGAGAAATCCTGATACTCTTACTGCCTTCAACATGGAATTGACCAAGCTTATCTGACCAGAGGCGCCTTACGTATTTTTCTGCTTTTATTATACACAAACCATTATTGCTACCACTGGACTTTTTCTAAAACATACTTAGGTAACAACTCAAATGATCTTGTCCCCTAACTTGCAGGTAATCTAAGCAGCTCTGACTAAGGCTCCAATTAGTAGCATCAGACATACGATCTCAGCCTATTGCTCCTCTAAACCATGTTGGATCATGTTGTTAGACATGCTAATAAATCAGCCACCATTCCTGCAGCACCAGACATCATTCTGGATAAGAGGAATGTAAATTCATTGCCTATCAGGCACTTGAGGTGTCTCGGGCACTTTCTCCCCACTGAGCCTAGGTTTGAGGAGTACAAGTTCCTGTGGCTTCACTGGGGCCTTTGAATGGGCAGCATGTAACAGTTCTATCAATCTCGCCATTACGGCTCCCTCTCACAGTGAATGGTTCAGGTTTGGGAACACATCCAAAACTGGTCTAAAAAGACTTGAGTCCAGAAATTCTGTGGGAATTTGATGATGCCCATGTCGGAAGATGAAAGAGACCTTTTCCCCTCAGGACAGGCCTGAGCAGCTGTAACAGAAGACCCATCTTCGAATTCATTTATATTTTATTTGTTGTGGTGCTGGGGATCAAATGCAGGGCATGGCACAGGCTAGTCAAGCACTCTACAACTGCTGTCTAACCCCAGCCCACTACCTCAGAATTTTAAGTTGGAGCCACTAACGAGAATTTTCCCCTACCCCCCTCAAATTAGGTAGAAGGAATCCTGTCACTTGCCAACAGAATCTCACCTAATTCACATTTGAGACAGGTGCCCAGGAAAAGTAATCACTAAATTGACTTGGCAGGCCACTCTTGATGAGGTGCTGCTGACTACCCTAAAGTTCCACAGCAGAAAACAACCTCTTCTATATCCCCAGATCATCTTTGTCCCCGCATCCACGCCCTCAGCTTGACATCATCCACCACTTCTCACCAAAGAACACAGGCAGCCAAAGGCAGCTTGGTCGATTCTTGGTATACATCATACATTTATTAGTGAATATCCCTCTGAAATCAGCAACAATATTAAAAAAAATAATGATTGCACTACTTGGTCAAGCAGAACTAGCAACTTTCATTTTAAAAAAAGTACAAATCTGTTAAAAATTTCAATCAGTATACACATATATATAATACAACATACTAGTTATGTTAAATGCTACAAACCAATGTGAATCCAATGGAATGGAAAAAACCACACATTTAAGCTTTAAGAACCATTTTTTTCTCTATATATTAGCATTTTCTCAAATACATGGGAAAAATGAGGTAAATGTACAATGTGCAAGGAACAGGGCCCCCGAAATTACATATATTTATATATATATGTTACTATATATATATAAAACCTTTCTAACACAGAACACAGGCGCTGGGCCCAGCCAGGGCTGGGGGAAGGTGCCCACTGTCATGCCTAGGCCAGAAGTTGGTAAATAAAAGAGTAAACAATGACAAGCCCCCACCACAGGAAATCATTGGTAACATGGCATCTATAGCAAGGTCGGCAAATCACAAACATCCTAAATAATTGTTTCATAAATCTTTTTTTATGATGATTTAAAAAAAAAAAATGTTGTTTCCCCCCCAGTAGCTGCTGTTGGAATCATTGCTGCAGCCAACACACAATCCGTGAGCCTGTTTCCGCCTGCCCCAGGAATGGTAAGGGTTTGGAAAACCTTTTGTTGGGGTGGGAAGGGAGGGGGGTTTTGGAAAGGGTGGTTCTTTGTGTAAAACATGTGGGTTTTCAACACTGCTATAAATATAGAAACGTCACCTGGAGTTATATACAGTAAGACTTTGGGTTCTCCATGGGGGTAGGACCAGGCTGACGGGTCCCGTGGCAGGCTGGGGAGGGTGGGAGGCAGGGAGCCAGGGCAGCTGCAGGGAGAACGAGGGTGGTTGGAGCATCCCTGAGGCAGCAGGCGCCAAGGGCTGCCTGCTAGGATGTGCCGGCCCCACACGCAGTTCGTTCAGGGCAGCAACCCCAGCTGAGGGTAAGAGAGGAAAGAACAGGATCAGAGAAGGAAGGTGGGGAGCTCAGCCAGACCCTACAGGGGCCTCCTCCAGACCTTGGAGGGCAGGGATCAGAATGGGAGGGGTCCCCTGGAGGTGGAGGTCCACACCCTCCCTGGTCCCCATCCTCCTGGGATTCCTTGAAGGAGACTCACCCAGCAGGTGGGACACGGGCCCTGGCTGGAGAGGGAGAAATGCCCTGAAAAGCGTACGGTCCCAGTAGGCTCTAGGGACGTGTGCAGTACAGTGCATGGCAGTTATCAGCTGAGCACAGACCCCCCCCAACCCTGCCCCATGACTGCCAGCCGCCCAGCCCAGCCCCAGCCGCACACATGCATGCAGGCTGGGCGGCACCACTCGACCCTTCTCTGCCCCCTGGGCATTAGGTCCTGGTTGGTCCCCATACCCCACCCCCCACCATTAAACCAAAAGGAAAAAAAAATGTCTTAAATATCCACACCCCCAAATCCTACACGCATTTTTGGGCCAAATGAATAAACAAAAACTGCTGCTCCTCACATTCATGCAAAACAACAGGGGAGAAGATTGGGCATGGATCTAACCCCGTCGCTGGTGGAGGGGCAGCCACCAGGAGCACAGGGATCCTGCCCAGTGTGGCCCAGGTCCCCTCAGGATATATGTGTCCCAGCTTGGGCCTGTCTCCCATTTGCTCAGGAGGGCTGTCTGGGCTGTCCTCCAGCCTGGAGACGGGGCTGGAATATCACTGTGCCTGTGGCGAGGGTCCTTGAGACACACAGATACACCCTGCAGAGCAACCTGTGCAGAGCTGGCTGCCCTAGTCAAGCAGGGGGACTCAGTTCCAGGTCCTAGGAAATAGTCTCACACCACCGTCTGTCCACATTCCTGGCAGTGCCCCTGGGCAGAGAGCACACCACTCAGCGCAAGAGACAAGATGACCCAGGACGGCGAGCSCGTTGCCCATCCTGGGGCCAAGGATCTCTACCAACCGTAAGAGGGGAGCAGACCCCTGGCTCTCAGTGCCAGCAGGAAAAAGAAGGACCCAAGGGTGAACAGAAGGGAGACTGAGCTGGGGATACCCAGGCAGCTCCTTGGCGGGCAGATAGGCAGGCAGATCGGGGAAGTAGTCTTTGGAGCTTGGCAAATGCAGGGGCTTATTGCAGGGGCTTCTCACAGGGAGGACCCTGGCACCAGCTCTGGAGATGCAGGTGGGAACGAAGGGGCAGGCCTGGGCCATTCCCTCCCCGTCCTCCCTGGGTCCCCCCGAGTTTCCAGAGCTTCGGGCAGGGTTCTCGTGGGCAGCTGTGGGGCTTCACTCAGCCTCCCTGGGCACCTCGGAGGCATCAGCTCGGCAAATGGGACATGTCCGGTTAGCCTAGGGGAGCAGCAGCAAGTCAGGATTCACTCTCACTTGTCCTCCGTCCCACCCCTTTATGTTCCGCTGCCTGGTGAGGACTTGGTCCCCGGAGCCAGAACTTCTGCATGATGGCAGGGACAAGAAGAGAAGTTCTCCAGGCTTGCCCTGCCCCTCACCATGGGAGGAATACCTGGGGCCACCGTACCTTCAACCACTTGTCGACACACTTGGTGTGGAACTCATGGTTGCAGGGGAGGACTCGGAGTAGCTGCCGCGCCTCAAAGTCACTGAAGCAGACCACACACCTGGAGAGGAGCAAAGTGTCACTCAGCTGCACAATCATGGCTGAGGGAAGGCTCATCAGAGTATAATTCTCCTTGAAAGGACTCTCATTGCAGCCCAGTTGTTCAGGGGCAAGAGATGGTGGCATGGCACTCACAGTGTCTGCTCTGACTGATGGCTGTCTGGGTTAAAGCGGTAAGATGGGAGCTGCTCTATGTCTGCTTTGGTGAGGCCTCTGGGCTTGGCATCTCCCAGCCGCTCGGCCAGGTTCAGAAGGGCCTAGATAAAGGCAGAAGGGGAGGGTCAATAGCACTCAGGCTGGAGGTCTCCCAAACCCCACCTCCCAGCACGGGAAGCCACGGAACCTCATAGTTCTCCATTTCCACATCATCCACATCCAGATCCAGGCTGATGGTGGGCCCCATTGCTGTTGGTGACATTGGCAGCATCGAGCTAGAGAAGGAAGGTATGGGGTCCCAAAGTCAAGGTTAACGTGGGGTGGGGGCGGGAAGAGCACAGAACTGCTCCTCTAACTCTTCCATGAAAAGTCCACAGCTCTGCACAGTTTACAACGGGGACCCTGGTTCTTGTTCTAGGATGGGAACTCAACAGAGCGTTGTGTGGATGTGGCTTGCTGGGGATACTAGATGGCTTCGGAGGACCTAAGGTCTCCAGGACAATGGGGTATCACAGCTCTGGGGCAGACGTGCTGGTACTTACAGGAAGTAGGGCAGGAAGCTTGGGTAATAAGGTGGTGGTGGTGGTGGCGGTGGCGGTGGCGGTGGGGGCAGTGGCTGTTGCAGGCGGTATCTCTGGGTGCTCAGTCTTCGTGGCACCATGTGGGAATATGACTGCAAGAGGGGGGCCGGACATAGGTCAGCCTGCAGGCCTGCTTCCTGAATGCCCCAGAGCCCGGCTGGGAGGTGGGGCTGGCACTTACCATCCCAAAAGACAGCTCCTGGTGCAGTGGATCATGGGGCAGGTAGTGTAGGGGTACCGAGGGGGATAAGGCTGGGCCTGGGGCAGAGGTGGAATAAGTGAAGCCACCCAAGGGGTGCTGTTCCCCCCGCAGGTCCACATCATTATCGAGCCGCTGCAAGGGCTAAAAGTGGTAGGGGTGGTAAGTCACAGAAGTGATAAAAGAAATGCCCTCTCCTCCCCTCCACTCTCCCCCTTTAGCACAGACCCAACCCCAAGACTCACATGCCCAACCCTCCCCACCACTCTCCCCATCTAGCACAGACACAACACCAAGACTCACCATACGGGGGTGCTGGGTCTGCAGTGATACAAACTGCCCAAGAGGCGCCATGTGGGCGGGCTGGGGTGGAGGGGCTGGCGGTGGCGGGTGCAGGATGTAGTGGTCACTGGAGATGAGGTGGGGGTAGGTCTGGTAGGGCACAGGGAGCTGTTGCATGGTGCACGCCTGGATCAGCTGCTGAGAGAGGGGTAAGGGGAGGGGGAGGCTGGAGAAGGTTCTGGGCTAGGCCTTAATTTGTGATGAGGGCCACAGGCTATTCCATCCAGCTAAAGATCCTCATTGTAATACAAACCCAGTAGCCTCAGTGGATCTAGAAGTCCCATCTCTGTCTTAGGCTCCCAGGAGGACATAGTATTTTAAAGACCCACAGCCTTCACTCCAGCACCTCAGCCAATGTAAGACACTGGGTACAGGGAAGTCCCTGAACCTGAAACGCTCTATCACTACATGTGAGCATGCTTTTTGATACATCTTTTCAGGACTATGGACTGGAACCGTGACAGCCTGGGGAAACACGGGAAGCTCAGCTCAGTTCAGGGGGAACACTGGAAGCTCAGCTCAGTTCGGGTTGCTGCGTAGCTGTCCTGGGGAAGATAGCTGCTTGAAACCGGGGCGAGGGTAGGAGAAGAAAGCACCCACTCACCGGGGGTGGGAGGCAGCAGAGGGGGTAGTGCTGCCCACTGAACATCACGGAGCATGCTGGGAGCTGCTGGGCACTGCAGCCAGGGATGTGTTGGCTTGTAGGCAAGGGGAAGCCTTGGGTGGTCACTGTGGTGACTGTGTAGGACAGAGGGACAGGTCCCTGGTGCACCTGTGAGTAGAGAGAGAGCCAGGGAACTGTAGGGAGGCCCCACCACTCAGATTACCCTCAGGAGAAAAAGTCCTGCCAGGCTCAACTCCCAGGTTCCTGTCCCTTCTCAGCTAGGGACCTACCTAATTTCAGACCAGACTATTCCCTGGCCCAGGGACCCCAGGGAAGGACCTCTAGGAATTCAGGAAGGGTACCTATCTCTTTCAGTCATTCACTCTGTGGCCCCAGGGAAAGCCCTGCCTTTGTTTGGGCCTCAGTTTACCTACCTGTAAAACAGGCTAATAATGTCTCCCACAACCATGTAATGAGTTAAGCAAGATGAAATCAGGGTTTTGTAGCCTTTGCTTCTTAAGACTGGTTTGTCAAAGGCTGGGGGAGTGGGCAAGTGTTGTGCCTACCTGTTCGTGGAGATCAACCATGAACGGGCTCTGCTGGGTGGCTGGGTGCAGCATTCGGGGGCTCCCGCCGGCAGGAGCCGAGGCTCGGTGCTCCTCTAAGGGGAGGTGTGGTGGTCGGAGCAGCGGCTGCTGGGAGGGTAAGTGCTCATCCTGGGCAGGTGGGCTGGCCAGGGGGCCCTCGTGGCTGGGGCTGCACCACAGAGAGGAGGCCCCATAGGACTGAAGGGGTGCCACTCATTCACAGAGCAGGGAGAGAAGCCAGGGTTGTACACCCACTGGGGAGGGAAGATAGCTTGGGACCCGGGCCCAACCCCTCTGGAACCCCAGGCCCTAGTCAAGCTGGCCACCTCAATACCAGGCCTGGGAGATTCTCTTACCTTCCCCAGAGCTGGCCTGGAGTGCTGCTAGGTCCTGCAGAGAATCGCCGCTGACCCACAGGGATAGAGGGTGGCCACCTAGTCACTGCCAGAGCCCATGGTCGCATCAGGGGAACAGTGGGTTGGAGGGGCTAGGCCAGGGCTCACAACCCTAGGAGGCAAAGACACTGAGGTGTGGATAAGTCCAGTCACTGGCCCCATTACAGGCTGGGGAGACTCAATCGAATCCCTGCAGTATGACTGCAGGGGCTAGTGATGGTCATTTGCTCCTGGGCTCCATGTGCACTCTCAGAGTGGCCTGCTCTGGACCCTGGGTCCAGGGATGACAGATTACGGACAGGCTCTGCCTGTAAGGAAGTAGGCCTCAGCTTCCAACTCTGTGAAATGGCATCAAGTCCCCTCAGAGTTCTGGCTAACACATGTTGGGGCCAGCTGGTTCCAGCAAGGATCCTAATGGACAGGGCTCCTGGGTACTGACCCCTGGTATGAGGACTTGGGCAGGGACCTTCCCTTTCCTTTTGCCATGGGCTGCAGCTTGGCCTCCAAACACCCTCCCTTCCATTTGGCTGGCTCAGAAGGGATCCCAAAGAGGCCTGGAACCCAGTTCTCCTCCCACTATCACCAGGTAAGAGGTTCCAACCTGTTTTCTGCCATTGGGGGTTTTCAGCTCAAGGCAAAGCAGTGTTTTCTTTCCTTGACCAGTGCCCACCCCAGTGTGACTTAATCTATCTACTCTTCAAGAAAGGTATTGTTAGAGCATTTGGCAGAGGAGAAAAACCAAGGATCAGCAAGAGGAAAGGACTGGCCCTAGACCCCACAGTAAGCATTAAAGCTAGGACAGGGGCCACTACAAGCCTGTTCCTGCATCTGAGTGGTTACTGATAGCTTACTGGGTCTGGCATAGGTCCTTGTTCTGGGGAAAAGTGAGGGGTCCTAACACAGCCCCCAAAGTGGAACGTGGGGCCTACTAAGGAAAAAAGGGAAGCAAGACCCTGAGAGAGGAAGTTGAGAAAGAGTGGGCGGGGCAGAACCTCCCCCCCAGAGTCAGAGAGGGGGCCCAGGTGGGGGAAGCTGAGGGACTTGGCTCAATCCCAGGCTTCCATTCATTAACTTCATAGGTTGGGATAAGGCCCTGGCAGGGAAAGCTCTAGAACCTGTCAGGTCCTGCAAAGTTGAAGGGTACATCAAACAGGGCCAGCCCTTTGCTGTTCCTGCCACAGGGAAACCCCCTCTACCACTTCTCCATTTAACAATTTTCCAATGCATCCTTGATACCCAACTTGAAATGTCACCTCCTTATTGACACAGCCAGGGAGCTGGTGTTAACTGTCAGTTCAACATCTTGTTTCTTCCTGCCAATAGCTACAAGAACCATTTCCTCAGTGCTGGGCTCTACAAGCTTGGACCCTAATTCTGAAAATGAGCCTTCCTAGGAATTATTACCTCCACTTCACCGACAGTGCCTGGCTGAAGCCACACAGGCAGGAGGTATATAGGTTGGAATTCACATTTCTCCCCTAACTCAAGAGCTATGGCACTCAGAGGAGGGTATGGACAGGGTGCAGTGACCACTCTGTGTCTAGCACAGAGCAGGTGTTATAAATGTGCACTGAAGAAAGTCAAACACACAGGTCCAAGGCCACATAGTCTGGCAGTGATGATGTTAGTACCAGTGATTAAAAACCAGGAGATTACAAAAACAACCTCTCAGGGGAGGGGAGAAAAGTGAGAAATCCGGTCCCACTGGGTCTTATTTCTGCACGCCTTCCTCATGTGCTCTCCAAGCCACTCTAGCCCATTTTCTGCCTGCCCACCATAGACTACAGTGTTTGTGAACTCTGGGCATGGGCACATCCTTACCACACATGTATATACATAGCCCTCCTATTTCCTGCTATCCATCTACCAAGCAAACAAGGGCCAAGGGAGACACAGATATCTGAAGCAACAAACTCTTGGCCCATTCCAGACCTGCTTTGGAGGTTCAGGGAACATGGGCACCTACCTTTTTTTTTTTTATAAGTTTTTTTTTTTTTTAAAGAGAGAGTGAGAGAGTGAGAGAATTATTATTATTTTTTTTAATATTTATTTTTTAGTTCTCAGCGGACACAACATCTTTGTTGGTATGTGGTGCTGAGGATCGAACCCGGGCCGCACGCATGGCAGGCGAGCGCGCTACCGCTTGAGCCACATCCCCAGCCCCGGGCACCTACATTTTATCAAATTCCCTAGCAATTTCTATGGCACAGTCAGGTTTGGAACTTCTGCTCTAGCTGATTCCAGAGATCTAGGGAGCCACAGTTCTGCCAATGAGAAATAGTAACAATAAGAACTATAACATTTCTCATGTGCCAATTTGATGAGTCCCCATACAACCTTTGGAGGTAAGGACACTGAGGCATGACCCAGTTTGACCATAAAGCACCCATGTTTAACCATCAATTCAGTAGCGGCCAGTGGCCTCAGCTGCTCATGGGTGCTAATCCCACAGAGACTGGTCTGTGGGAATCTGCTCCATGGCCAGACCTCCTACAAAGGCACCTAGTCCTCAGGAAAGGTAAGTAAGGAGCTGAGAAACCAGACCAGCAGACAGATAGCGTCAGCCATCACAGCCCCATACCTAACACCCCCAGCTTCTTGCTGGAGTCTTGGTTGAAGACTTTAGGTACATGGCTTCCCCTTTTCTGAGCTTTAGCTTTCTTATCTTTAAAAGGAGAACAACCCACTAACTGCCTCCCAAGGCTCCTCAAGGACTGCGGTACAAGTGATTTGTAAAGTTTGAAGTCAGTTTGGGTGTGAATGATCATTATCAGAAAATAAAATACAGTGACCTCCATCCCCAAACCCCAAGCAAAAAAAGGGCACTACTTTAAGCACAAGGAACACAGGCAGCAAAGGGGACACACCCACTGCACAGCTGACAAAACTGAGGCCCAGAGAAAGGAAGAAACTTGATATAGGCCACAAAACCTGAGGAACACAATTGGTCCTCACTGACTCTCCCAATTCCTTTCTCTCACTGGCGTCAATAGCCCAAGGAAGAACCACCTAATTCAACTCTGTTCCAAGCCAGAGGCTGAGAAAGCACTGTCTTTCAGGCACCTGTGAGTAGCATCGTTGTGGAGAGAAACCAGTGAGGCTGAGTTGGAGGTAGCAACTTGCTCAAGGTCAAACAGCAAGGGTGGCCAGCTTAACTGCTCTGCCTTTCCACACTAACGATGTGCTTTCAAAAACGTTAGTGTAAATGGATTGACTATCCCCTTTCTAAATCCAACCTTGCTAGAAGCAGGTATCTTACTTTGCACTGACACTCCCACATCCACCCTCTTCCCTGTCAGCCAACTCCCTCAGTCCATGGCCCCATGCAGATACCCGACCCTTGCTTAAGGAGCCCAAGCCTTTTGGGCCTGGGGTCTGCTTGCAGGAAAGACACCCTTTTGCAGATGAGCAAATCAGACCCTAGGAGCATGAGTAAACTCAGGCAGGAACAGAAGCCCCTACCCTACTTTCCTGCCCCACCCCCACCCCAAAGAGGAGCTCTCCAACGTGTGGTACCTGGAGGCGGTTGAAGGCGGGACCACCACCACACGCGGGGCCATAAGTCTTTGGCTAGTTCATACTCTCTGGGTGACCTTGGTCAAAGAAATCCCTTAGCTTCTCAAAGTCTCAGCAGCCCCAACTGTAAATGGGGTAGAAATCTCTCTTCCCCGGAATGCCACCCAAAGGCCGCAGGGGACAAGAAACCTGGAGGTCATATTAGAAGGGGGAGGAAAGCCCGGGTCCCTAAGGGGCATGCCCCTCTCCAGATCTGGCCAGGCGCAAGTCGTGGGGCTCCAGGAACCTTCCACAGCCATCCCTGGGGATGGGGTAGAGATCTGAGAATCGGATACCTGCCCCGAGGGGGGCCTCCCGCGTCCCTTTCCTATTCCTTTGTGCCACGCTCAGAGGGACAGTAGGGGCGGGAGGCCAGACTGCAGCGCCGGGGCCGGAGCGCTGTGACTTTAAGAGCCGAGGATCCTGGACCATGTGCTCGGCGTGAGACAAAAGCAACAACAAAGGAAGTGGCGGCCGCAGGGGGAGGGGGCGGCTCCTTCCTCTCCAACCGCAGCGCTCTACCTCTGGAGAGGGGAGACCCGGCCCGGCCTTGGAGGGCGCAGGGGGGCTTCCCTGATCTCAGGGGTCTCGCTGCTCCCAGTCCCTACCGCCCATGATTAACCCCTGAAGAGCCAGCTGGATCACTAACCCCATTCCCCGGGGAAAGAAACTGAGTTTCAGGGATGCGGGAATCGGGAGTTATGGGCCTTGGCCCTGACTCACCTTCGGCCGCCCGGCCACACGGTGACTCCTTTGTTCGCGATCTAGAAAGGCTAGGCCGGGCAGGGGGGCGGGGGGGGACTGCCTGGACCCTTTAAGAGTCCCCGCCCTGCGGAACAATGTGCTCCCCTCCCCACCCCCTAGTCCGGGGGCAGCCCGGCTCCTTCCGGGGCCCTCTCTCTTTGTTGTCCGCCTCGCGAGGCCCACGCGCGGTCAGTCTTTCTTGGCCCAGGCCCTAGGGGAGCCGAGGGACGCGCAGGACGCAGTTGGTTTGCGCGGCTGCCGGCGGCTGGCCCTTTAAGAACTGGCCGCGGCGGCAGCGGAATGTAACAAACCCCACATTTGATTCACAACATTCGAAGCGGCGGGGTCGCGCGCTGGGTGGGAGGGGGGCTCGCGGGGGCGCGCCGGGAGATTTAGGCAAACAGTAGCCGGCTGCAAGCCTGCGGCGGTCCCGCCCCACGCCAGGGGCTCCGCCCCACGGCAGCCCAGAGAGCCAATCACTCATCGCAGCCAGGCACGTGATGGGCAGACCGCCATCTTGAAAGACAAGATTTTTTTTTTTWAAAATCTCTTATTCGCTTCCACCTTCGCACTTAAAGCGACCGCAGCAGCCACTGTTAAAGACAAGGGGCGGGGCAACAGAGCCTGATAAAAAGCTGAAGACCTCGGGGTGCACAAGACCGATGAGCAGCAACTCAAACATGCTATGCAAACTCGCTAACTACTCGCGCTTCTGAGGCTTAGTTTGCCTGCGGGAGTAATGAGTCCCGCCAGCAGAGCCGCGGCCCGGACTTACTGTGTCATGGTCACCTCCTTGGGGACCAGGTGCCGCTTCGGACACTGAAGTGCAATGGGGCTGACCTCCAATGGGACAGGGACAGCCGGATCGAGTACTTAGGATGGTTTCAACAGCCCCGGGCCAGCAACCTTCCCAGAATGACGTCACCTCCAAGAGCTGCAGCACCGCGATGACATCATGATCCGGTCGCCCCACATCTCCTTGTTTATACTGTGCGGCCCCTTTAATATAGTGGGACGGCCTAGATTGCCCAACAGACCAATAAGGGYGATCCATGCAAACGAGCTAACGTCTACCAGGTGGGGAGATTGGTCCTGCGCGCGTTGACGTCACAGAGATAATTAGCCGCCCCGCCCCCAACGTGACCAGGGGAAAGGGGCGGGGAACAGATTGTAGTTTAAGATTAAACTTGAGTCACCAGGCACTAGTTACTTTTGGCTGGGCGAGGAAGTTTTGTGTCACGCTTCCATACTTAAGTTTTCTATCCCTCCCAGCAACTATAAAACGAGAGATTATGACAGTCATCCCATTTTACAGATGAGGAAAATGAAGATTAAGAAATACCTAACCTGGGTTGAGGATGCCCTAGCCTAGCATGTACCAGGTCCTGGGTTTGATCCCCAGCACCTTAGGGGTGGGGGTGCATGCGCATGCGCCTTCACTCGCCCCACATCACAGAACTGGTAAGTGTGGGGGACAGGCATTTGAACCAAAGCCAACCCTTGTTATCCTTTGCCTGGATGCCTCCCCAGAGAGACATCATACAAAATGCACATCAATTATATAAACAAACAAAAATCAGTAATATGCTAGAGCTGTCCCAGAGCTGGGGACAAGCCTAATAAAGACTGGTGAGTGCAACCGTACAACTAATAACTGAACCCCTGTACAGCTACAGGGATATTTCCATGGAGCTACTTCCAGGACAGCTAGAAACAAAGTGCGAGCGCAAAGTTTATGATTTATTAAATCTGAGTGATGGACTACAGGGTGGGGCTCATTTTTATGCTGCTTGGGTATTTTGTAACCCCAAATTTGTTTTTTTGTTTGTTTGTTTGTTTTTGTGGTACTAGGGATTGAACCCAGGCCCTTGCACATGCTAGGCAAGTACTCTACCACTGAGCCAGCCATAATCTTAAATTTTAAAATAAAAATTGAATCCAAAATGCTGAACAGGATGTAACGGTACTATCAATATCTTTAATTGGATATATACATCTGCATAGAATATTTCTGAAAGGATATCCAGTAAACTGATTAACAGTTGTCCTCAAGGAGAACTGAGTCAGGAGGATAGACTTTTTTTGTATATTAACATATACATTTGCTCATTTAAAAAATTTCTAGAGTATAAGCTACTGGGAAATTTAATAAAAACTACTATATAAGAGTATGTTTTAAGTTTTTTAAGCAATAAAAGCTTTTGTTTTCTCGAAATCAGAAATCACTTTTCAATGGAGGTGTCCATTGGAAGAATCCAGAAAGAAGTTTGGGGAACAGACTTGCTTATCACATGTCAAGTAGACCAACAACAAATCAGTATTACTGTGGATGCACATCCTAAAGATGGTACCCAGCAGGGTATTTGCAGATCTCTAAGCAACAGAAGATCCAAGTTCTTGATACAGTGCTACAGATGTAACCTGGAATGCTGTATTTGTCCAGCACTCGACCACTACACACACCCCAGCTCACACGATGATCTCTTCAGTTGGCTCCCTATCATCAATTCTTCCTTCACTGCCCATATAATCTTAACCTTTTAATTTTCCCCATCATATAAAAGCAGTTGGAAAACCCTCCCCACATTTAAAGGTGTCTACATCTGTAAGAGCATCTCTTGCTTCAACAGGGGCAGACTTCCTACTGCCAAAGACACATTGTTAAGTCTTTGGGGTGTACTTAACAAATTCTCGATGTCCAAACCTTTTGGGTTCACCTTTCCTCAACTCTCTCCCACACCATGGCGGTGCTCCCTCTAGCCTTCCCTGCCTGTCTTGGATGCCCTCTGAATCCCTACCAATCCATTCCTCTTTTTTGCCCTTTGAAGCTCTGCTCTCGTCTCACCTCTTTCAGGAAGCTGCTTGTGATATCTCCAGCTTGTACTGAACTCCTCCATCTATGCACACAGGGCTAGTACCCTGACCTTCCCCTCATGCCATTTAATTTGCACATGGCCCTGTCACAATCACTGCATGTCTTAATAATCCTCTTGCTGGCTGAGAGGATTCAGCCCTTTTAAGTGTGCCAACAGTCGGCCTTTGCTGGAAGTTAGGCAGCACAGGGGTGACCCAATCTCATTTTACAGGTGAATATTTGAGACTCACAAAGGCAAAGTGACTTTGCCAAAAAACCCACACAATACCTTAACCACTTCTCACCCTCAGAAAGGGACTTTCCAGCCATGATCCAACCTCTGACTGTGCCATAATTTTTGTCTAATATATCCTCAACTCCCCCTACTCACCTGTGGCAAAATCCTGCTCAAGCTTTGGGGACAGCTCAAAGACTACCTCTTCAGAGCCTTCCCTAACCTGCTGGCTTGTTCTGGCTTCCTCCCAGCAGAATTGTCACACTGTATCACAATAACAGAAGCCTGTTCCCAGCAGGGTCCAGACACCAGTTCAGGGCCTGGCTCATACTAGGTGATGGATGCTCAAAGCAAAGGCTCTGTACTTGCCCCTCATCCTTGTCCAGGAAACTCCTCCCCATCATCTCTCCAGCACAACTCTCTCTCTCTCTCTTTTTTTTAACATTTATTTTTTAGTTGTAGGTGGACACAATATTTTATTTGTATGTGGTGCTGGGAATAGAATCCAGTGCCTCACGCATGCTAGGCGAGTGCTCTACTTCCGAACCAAAACCCCAGCCCTTGTACAACTCTCTTATTTATCCCGTGTCTAGGCATGACCAGGAAGTCCTCAGTAAATTCCCAGAGTCCCTTGGAGATCAACTAAGGTCAGAGGTCAATAAGATATCTTTTCTGGGCACAAGGAGAGCCAGTCTGCAGCAAAGTGAAAAGGGCACATAAATTTATCAGATATCCTAAATTTTCAAAACAAGGCAGAAATCCGAACTTTTCTTCAAAATCCTATACTTTGGAACTACAATGTGAGGATGTGGCCTAAAACTCCCTATGTAGTGATATGTGCCTCTTTCTCGTCACACTTGCCCCCTTGAAGGCAAGTGCTATTTACTCTCATATTACTAATAAAAGTGGTTCAGAGACAGGAACTCACTGCCCCAGAAAGGTGACCAGTGGGCTCCAGAAACCAAAGGTGGAGGTAGCTTGCTGAGTGTTTTGTGGAAAGATGCAGGTGCAATGTGGGATTGATCATCTGACAGTGAACTAAATGCTATGTGCTAATGTTTGTCCCATTTTACAGATGAAGAAACTTAAGTGAGAGGTGATGAGTCACCATGTTACACAGCCATTAAGAGGCAACCCTAACCCAGGGCCTTGTGCATTCGAGGCAAGCGCTCTACCAACTGAGCTATATCCTCAGCCCTTAGGATCACATTCTTGAAGTTTGGTTCAGGCAAAGCAAATGCTAACAAAGGCCCCCATAATTACTCAACTTGCTCAATAATCAAAAGCAAGAGGAAGGGCCTTGTGGCTCAGTGGTAGAGTGCTTACCTAGCATGTGTGAGGTGTGAGGCACTGAGTTTGATCCCCAGCACCATATAAAAAATAAAAACAAATACAATAAAGGTATTGTGTCTATCTACAATTAAAAACAAAAAAAAAAAAAAAAAAAGCAAGAGGAGACCACAGAGGTTCAGGGACTAGTGGGTGGCTCCAAATCACACAGAGCAGATGAGAGCCAGAGGGGCTCAAATCCTAATGCTTTCAAGTATAAAGCACTTGATGCTACTACATTCCAGTTTCCTCCTCCAGAACTCCTTTGCAGCTGGGAGGGGCTTGGGCAGGCTGAGGCCGTAAGAGGAGGGTGTGGTCATCACTTCCTGCTGGGGCCCTGCCCAGCCAGGGTTTCCACCTACTCAGAGCCTGGACAGCAGGCTGCCTTCCTCCCTCCCTCAGGGTCACAGAGCACTCCACTCTTCTTGCATGGCTCCTCAAATCCTCCTCCAAAAAGACAGGGTACAGTAACCTTCCCAGGATAGAGCTGGCAGGAGATAAAGAGACTGTTGTACCACCTCAGGGGAAAGCAGAGCCTGGTAGAGCCAGTTTAGGACTCAGACCTCCCAGATAACACAGAGTATCAGACTTGAGCCCAGAGACTCAAATACCTGGGAGCGAGTTGACAGGTTCCCTGACAAATCCTCTCTGTTTAGAGCAGGACTGAATGTATCTGAGGCCTTAAGTTTTGGCTTCCTTAAAAAGAACAAGTTTGTGCAGATGCACCAGTGGGGCAAGGGTGCTGGGTGTCTTGTAGAGATGTCAGGGTATGAGGTTCATGTCTGCAGCATTCTGGCTCCAGTTTTGAGACCCTAGGTAATTTATTTGCCGTCTCTAAATCTTGGTTTCTCATCTCTAAGATTGGGCAATAATGATAGTTCTAATGACAGTGACATTTACTGAGCACAAAGGATCAACCCAGCACTGTTGTTCATCTCCTTTAGGTTTTCTAAGATGTTAGGACTACACTAATGGTTAAATGAAGGAACTGCTCTGTCTTAAGAGCTCTGTGACCTTGA